CGTTTTTTATTATTATTTTGTTACTATCATCTACTTATATTTTTAATTTATTCCAAATATCATTCCAGATATATATTAATTATTCGTTTTTATCATTATAATATTTTTAAGGTTATATGTTCTATATAAGTTATACGATTATATTTACGCGTAATATTTTTGTAATTGCCTTTGCAATTACAACCTTTGCAATTACGCGTTTATAATCATATATTTATAATTATATATTTAGTGGTTTTTATTTAGTAAAAAATATATATTAAATATCAATAAAATATATTCCCAATAATATTAGTTATTTTTTATATTACAAATTAAAATATTTTATATATTTTAATTAATTTATTAATGTATTTGCAATATATATTTCAATTTAATAATTTATTTATTTATATTTATTGCAAAATTTTATCCAACCGCAAATACAATGATCATCACTCAACCTATACAAACACACAACCCCAAACACACAATCACAAACACGCAATTACAAACTCCCAACCACAAACACACAACCACAGGAAATCACAAACGCACAATCGATTGCCGCAACCACACAACCACAAACACGCACCCATAAACACACAACCGCAACCACAAACACACAACCACAACCACAACACACACAATACACAACCAACAACCACAAACACGCAATCACAAACACAATTACCAACACACAACCACACACACACAACCACAAACGCAACCACAAACACACAACCACAAACACACAACCACAAACACAAAAACACCACAAACACAAAAACAACCACAAACACAAAAACAGCCACAAACACGTCCACACACACAGCCACAAACACACAATCACAAAAAACAACAACCACAAACACACAACCACAAACAGACAAGCACGAGCACACAACCACAAACGCACAATCGCAATCACACAACCACAAACACTACACGCTATTACCGCTACTGCTACTCCTACTGCTACTACGACTACGTACTACCACCACCACTATCTGTGTGGGGTTCCGGGCTCCGCCACAGTTCTCTCTATCACGAATACCGCCACTACTCCCACTACTCCTCATCCTCCTCCTCCATCCCCACCAACCCACCAACCCCACCATCCCCACCAATCCACCAACCCCACCAACCCACCAACAACCCCACCAACCCACCACCACCCCCACCAACCCACCACCACCCCCACCAACCCCCCACCACCAACCCACCACCCATCACACATTACACACAACACAACAATATATAATTGCCTGTGCCTGTGTGGCATTTTGCGTGGCAGGTGGTTACAGGGCCGGGCCGCGGTTTGGATAGAATGCCAGTTGTAAACCCTGGCGACACCCCGACGCGAACTCCCTAACACTAAAACAACAACCCAAAACCCCAGGACCCACAAGCAAAATCAAGAACCACAAAACCCTCCACCATGCTCCTCACCATGGCATGAAAACAACTGAATGACATGTCATGGTGGGGATCCTCGAAGCAAAGTAATACATATGTTCTTTACAATTGCCTAACAAAAACCGGCTAAATCCCCCTTTGCTAAATCCCCCTTTGCTGGTGCTCGTTTTGTCTTCCCCAACATTTTGACAAACCAATTAAAAAGGCACCACTGCAAATTGCCTTTTCGCTAAATCCGTAAGTCATGACGGATTTCAACCCACCTATTAAAACTGCATAAATGTATTTCTATGCACTCACTTTACTAATATATCCCACATTCTGGTTGACATCTTTATAGCGACGACACACCTACTTGCAAGTTGTCGTATTTACCATGAAGCCTAAGCAACTATCGTCTTCCGGCGTCTTGAACATGTATGCCTATATCGTTGCATACACACAACTTATCCACTTTCTTAACATTATAACCACTTAATAGTGCCAAAAATGCATCGTTAAACCTTTTTACAGTAATTTCACTCGCATCACCAAAACCCTCATAAAACATATTTTAAACACCCCCTTTTGCTCGCTATCGGAAGCTCTAAGTTCACCCTATCCAACAAAACCCTCCTCACGACCAACCCACCTCCACAACTCCCTAATACTCACTTCATTCCCCCATCTTACACTTCAGCCTAGCCTATCGGTTGGCTTTCGTAATCAAATTCATTTATCAAACAATGTTATTGTATAAATTTCATATAATATATAGTATGTTTGTTATGTTTGTTTCAATTATTATGTGTTTAACTTTTTTAGTTTCATTGTGAATATCGTGTATTGAATTTAAAATATCCCGGAACTTTAAAATGAATATATTCCGGGTCAAGAGTTGAGCCAACACTTGTGGTTGTGTTTTGGCATCGTATAGCCAAGGTTCTGTCCTTTTCTTTCAATCTGTTCTTGGTCCACATTCAAAGTGCCACTGTATCCGTTGGCATCAAATTGCCAAGTTCCAAAAGAATTAGAAGGCACTTCAAACGGATTGATTGATGAATGGACCATCCGCATTTGCTGTCAAAGGTTGTTGGAGGCCCACTGGTGCTGAACGCTGCCTCCTCCATCAATTGAACAAGGGGAAGAATTCAGAACACATTCAAGGGGGAACAACGGAAGGTCAAAAGGCAAAACAGGTAATAAACATATGATAAATAGTTTGTTAAAGTGTAAAAAGTGTAACATATGATAAATAAAGTTAAGATCTAATAGAAACAGTGAGTCTTTGGACACAGCTCTCGCCTGAAGGCAAAAGCTAGAACCGAAGCCGCAGCCAGCATTGCAATTATGCCCTCGGACAAAGATCCAAGCAGACTCGTTCATACATTTCTTTGTAATCTTCCTTTGTATTCTTTGGCCTTGCAAATCGTTCATACATTTCTTTACAATGGTTTCTTTAGACCTTTAACTTTAGACTGTCCTCTTTCTTACGTCTGTTCTTTGCTTCTTCCTTCAAAAAACTTGGATCCAAGCGGTAGTCCGAAGAAGCTGTTCCGACCGATCCCGCAGTGGTTCCTGCCACATCTAGAAGTTCTGTGTAGCTGCATACTGGACTTGATCGCACAAGCCTTTTCAACCATGGTTATGTGTTCAATGAAAGTACGAGTACCAAGTCCAGAGTCTACAGTCGGACTCAATTCGTCCTTGCCTTGTCAAGCTCGATCTCAAAAATAGAACTTTCAGGTGTGTGTGCATTTGGTTGTCCCTGCATGTACTTTTGATACTTGATTCCACTTTCGTCCATCT